ATTTAATGTGCACTATTTCTGGCAGTCTGCTTAGGCCTTTAGTTGTAGCAGAAATAGTGCGAATTGAGTCCACTTTAAGGGTTACGGTTAGTGCTAGGGAATCATGGGAATTGTTTTTTTCCTGAGACATTGAGTCTTCTCTTTCAGAGAGCTCTGGTGCCACAATAAAGTACAGTTCCCAGGATTCCCTAACCCTAACCCTAAAAGTGAACTCAGTTTGCACTATTTCTGGCAGTCTGCAACCCCCCTTAAATCCTGGTGCAAGCAGGGCTCAGGTCTCATCCACACTGCAGAAATAAAGCAATTTGGCACCACGTTGCTGTGGAATTCTGGGTTGTGTCCTTTTGTGAGGTACCAGCACTTGTGGTAGAGAAGGCTAAAGACCTTGTAAAGTTAAACATCCCAGAATTCCATAGTATCAAGTCATGGCAGTTAAAGAGGTATCAATCTGCTTTGTTTCTGCACTATGGGTAAGACCTAAGTCTAGATAGCAAAGTATGACTGTAAAATCCCACCCCTGTGTATGATCCCAGCAGAATCAGAAACAGCCATTATTAACACAATGGATAACTAAAGAGTTACTACAGAAAATCTCTCAAGGGGAAAGCTAACCTTTGTGTTTCCCATGGCAAGAACCTTATGGTCACTCTAAGTATTCAAACATGTCCAAAGATATTTCTGATTTGGCTGATGATTGTGACTTCATTTATATGTTAGGATGTTAGAAAAAGAATCTTGGTCTTTGAAAATATATTTGTTGTTATGTGCCTTCAAGTATTTTCCAAATTATGGTGACCCTAAGGCAAAGTAATCATGGGGTTTTCTTGGCAAGACTTATTCAGAGGAGGTTTGAAATTGCGTTCCCCTGAGGCTGAGAGCATGTGACTTGCCCAAAGTCACCAGTAGGTTCCAGGGCCATCTGGGAATTGAACCCTACTCTCCAGAGTCTTAGTCCAAGACCAGACCACTAGTCTTGACAACCTTTTTTAGAAATTCCAAATTCTAAAAAGAATATATCATGTATTCTATTTAACTAATATATACAAATGAATAATGGGATCTGTATGATTAAAAAGACACACCCATCCATTGAGATCCATTGGCCAATTCTTGATTCCAGCTAATGTCGATTCATGATACATTATCACATGGGGAGTTGCGGGGAGAAAGTGGAAATAAACTGGATGAGCGGAAGATTTTAATTTATGGGATTTGTCCCATTCTGCCTCATCTGGTAACTAAATTCGAATTTAAAAGGGGGTTAATTCAAACAAAAACCTGATCTTTTCAAATCCTCAAAAATCCCGAAAATTAAAAGATCAGGTTTGCGTTCGAATTAACCTCCTTTTAAATTCAAATTTAGTTATCAGACGAGGCGGAACGGGACAAATCCCGTAAATTAAAGACTTCCACTCATGCCTGTTTATTTCCACTTTCTCCCCGCAACTTCCCATGTGATAACGTCCATGGAATCAGTGGAACTTGTATAAGTAATAGGGATCTATATTCTGTTAATCCTAGTCAGAAATAACAATTGGATTCAAATCAAAGAAAAGGTTATATATACATGTCAATATTCAAATGGGCCTATTTAATGGTGAATTGCTGGCATTAAGGAAGTGGCCTGAAACCAGACTAAGGTACTTGCAATTACTTCTTACCAAAATAAATGGAATTTCAGTCATGACCTATTTGTTCTTCAGTTTTCAATAAGACCTAAATGCAGCTGAATTAGTCTTGAACCTCCTGATGCTTCTCAAAGGAACATTCAGCAGAGCAGCATCAAGAATGATGAGACAATTCAAATGAAACACGTTACTTATATATTACTCTCTTTAGGAATGTTATTGCATATGTTACCAGAGAGGCCAATTAATTGATGGATGTTTGCTATAGTTAAAAGGTTTTTTTTATTAATATGATTATTAACATGAAGATTAAATAGGGAGATTTATGAAATAGTTCCCATTCTCCCACATTTCCTAATAAAATGGCATCGGATTTAAATTAGAAGAGTTGAATGGGATAATGCCATTGAGGTGATTTACCAAGCAATTAATGATTTGTCTATGATAATTAGTCAAGAGCAACTGCTGCCTTCATCAAATATCCTGAAAATATCATTTGGATACAGATACTACACTGTTTGTTTCAAATGGCTGGTTCATTAATTGCGGGGTTAAAAGCCAGGTAATTAATTGACTGGCACTCCAATCATAAATCCATTTGCAGAAAGTCTCATATATTCCAGAAAGGACATGCACTTCACACAGTGGTGTAAAACCAGTTTTCAACTGTGGTGTGTTCATATGCTTCCTGGCTTTAGAAAAAAGAATATCCAGCAATTAACTTTGATTTGCTTTATCAGCCTGGCTGCCAACGTGCAAACACATGTTTTCCTTCACAATTTCAGCAAGTGCAAGGAGCTGCTATCAATGATTGCATCATTTTGCTCTATCACAAAATTCTCAGCATTTGCCAGTAAAACATGCTTTCCAAAATTGTGCTCAATGGTTGATTCTTTATCCCAGAATCCTAGTAGCGTCCTCATACCTGCAACACCTAGCAGTTACTAATACATTCTGTCAGCAATCTTCAGCCTGAAAATGAGACTGGGCAGAAATCTAGCCCAGTGTGTGTAATTGTATGGGGAAGGGAACCATTATCCCTTTGGATTATTAGACTACAGCTCCCACAATCCCTTGCAATGGACCTCAGCTTCTGGGAGCTGAGGTCCAAAACATCAGGATGGTCAACTGTTTCCCATCTAGGCTAATCTTAGGCTTTTGGTTTCTCCTTTCATCCACCTGCTTCTTTCTTTCCCATCAAGTTTGATTAATGTCTCCAGAGAGCCTGAAAACTTGCACATTGTATTATTTAATGAATCTGAATAAAAGTATTGTTGCCCCACTGTAGACTTTGTGTCTTATTTTCTGTTTATCACTTCACACAGAACTAAAAGAAATCGATAACATCCATGGATCTTCTGCAGAATATTATCAATTCACAAACAATTATAATAATAATAATAATATAATCATAAGGGAGTATATATTTCACATTTAGCTTCTAGGATCTTGTCTCAGAACACATCAGGTAAACTTTAACAAAAGGGACCTATTGGGCCAGATATAATATTAATAGTTTTATGACTTTGGGCACAGCAGTTGTTATTGTTGTTTGCCTTCAAGTGATTTCCACCTTATGGTGACCCTCAGTGAACCTACCACAGCATTTTCTTGGCAAGATTTGTTCAGAGGGGGATTGTCTTTGTTTTCCTATGACAGTGAGAGAGTGTGACTTGCCCAAGTCCTGTAGGTTTCCATGGCCAAGCTGGGATTTGAACCCTGGTCACCAGAGTCATAGTCCAACACTCAAGCCACTATACCACCCTGGCTTTGCTAGGATCATGTGCCCTTTATTGTATCAGCTGCAGTGTCAGCATGTCCACTTCCCCGTATAATTGAAGGCACTGATTACAACTTTTAAAACTCTAAATAGCTTAGGATCTCACTCTCTAAGGATGTTTCTTTCCATGTGAACTTCTTGAGAAATTCAGTGTTCTCAAAGGGGATAGTGGCTTCACAAAGGACACAAACAATCTGAATCCCACGAGAAATTACTTTATTACTGTTAATGGACTTTAAATTTCACTGTCCTTTGTTCCAGTCCCTATATGGCCAAGAAGGGAAGTGGCCTGTGTCTGCATTGAGATCCCTCCACACCAACTGAACTACAGCAGAAACAACATCTAATACAAAATGTAGGCCTGTGATTCTTAACATCATCTCCTTTCTTCTCTTATATGGTTTTTGAAAATCATTTGCCTTATGAAGAAGCCAGTGGGGCCTTGAAAGCTTGCATGATGTAGTTTGTGCAGTTTGGTTGGCCAATAAAGGTATCACTGTTTTGTGAATTTGGGATTTTGTGGTATGAGAATGCTGAGCTTGGGAGGTAACTGAGATAGCTGTATTCTTTATTTCTGTATCCATAGTGTGTTGTGCTAATGGGGCCCTTGTGCTACCTGTCTTACAATACAATTCTTGCCTCTATCTTTTAAAAAAAACCCAACTCACTATTTCTGATATATTATGATAGTATCCAAATATTATGCCATCACAATGCACAGCTGGGAATGTGACTTAGCTGTACTGTAGTTCCTTTAATTGCTAAATATGTGTTTCACCAGTCTTCCAGATATTCAGTGATCATTGCAATGTCAACTTGATTTTTGGCCATCAGTCATCTCAGAAATAATGCAGTCACTCTGGAGTCAGTAAACTCCTCAAATTCACATGATTTAGATTTATTATGAAGCTGTACAACATTAAGATCAATCATTTTATTTTGGCAGCTCCAGTTGTGTAAAGAAGATATTTAGCAACAGTTGCATGGATCTCTGTTTAACTGTTTTGTATATTGCTATGAAGCTTTCCCTCTGAAGGTTCAGCCTATGCAGTCCCTCCCTTACAATTTTGGAATCCCTTTTGCATCTCTCTAAACTGTATATATAGCTCAGCCTGTTTTATTTCAGTTATGTGAATGTCAAGAGTAAAGCAAAAATATTAATCATGTCAAAATGATGTGAAGTTCAATACTGGTAGAAAAATATGAAATTTTGAATGACAGCATGCTGTATGACATGCTGGTAACCTTTCTTTCTTTTTAACATCCATATCAAGTGCTATTATTCACAATATCTCACATCTTTAACCTGATCTCTTAAGCCAAATGTTTGCTAGGAACATCTGTGGCACCTGGATTGCATCCTGTATTAATTTCCCTTAATGTGCCTGCACATCTGCCATGTTTTGTCAAGCTAGCTGTTACCTCCCATTCTTTCAGCAGTTAATCCTCCACTTTTAACACAGGAGAGGGCAAACTATAGCCCATGAGCTACAACTGGTTTCCAGGACTACCACTGTGACTCCTTTCCCCTCTACCCTTATGCTCTGCAACAGACATAATTTGGGAAGATGGGCATATACAATTGTACAATCCTTGGGGTTCAATTGGTTATATTTACCCTGTTTCTCCCAACTTGTTATAGGCCTATGGGACCATTTTTTTTTTAAGTGGAAACTCATCCAGTCATTTCTGGTTTAGAAGAAAAACACACATCCCTGGTTGGGTTTGTGTATGGAAAATTGACTACAATGGCCAATTGTACACTCAGAAGGTACATCGGCTCACCAGATCCACAGATTCAACCACCCCATATATTAAATAAATCATATATTTAATATATATATACCTTCTAAAAAGCAAACCTTGATTTTGCCATTTTATATAAGGGAAACCATTTTACTATGCTATTGTATTTAATGGGACTTGAGCATCCATGGAATTTGATATCCATGGGGAGAGGAGTCCAGTGGATACCAAGGGCCCACTGTATAATTATATGTTTCGGTCCAAAAACATATTTGGGAGCAGGTGGAATCAGAGAGACAGGTGTGGATCTCTGAGGTTCTGGCTGGAAATAGTCCTTGGACTTCAGGAAGTTTCCCATCCCTGCTTTAATACAAAACTTAAAAGTATCCATCCTGGCCATAAGAAAAATTCCAGAGTCAGTGTTAGGGCAATACCTTTAGGAGATTAATGCAAGATCACAAAACAGTGTGCAAATTTTCAAGACCTCTAGACCTTTTCATCGAACAAGATGTGTTAAATTAAGTGGGAGGACAGGAAGAAAGGAAATTAGGGGCTGTTTGTACATGATTGAAGGGATGTTGGTGGCTTAGTGGTTAAGACGCCAATTCTGATGATTGGAAGGTTGGCAGTTTGAGGCCCAAGTGCCGCATGATGGGTTGAGCTCCTGTCACTGGTCCCAAATTCTGCCAACCTAACAGTTTGAAAACATGGAAATGCAAGTAGATAAATAGGTACCACTTCAGTGGGAAGGTAACATGTTGTGTTCAGTGAAGTCATGCTGGCTACATGATCACAGAGTATTCGCTGACAACAGCTTAGTAATGGAGATGAGCACCTCTTCCTACAGTCGGTGACGACTAGACATTCATGTGAAAGGACTGCCTTTACCTTTTTTTGTACATGAGTTTTACCTTAAGTTTTGAAGGTAAACTAGCATGTGATTTTGTGGCCTTCAGCTGGCTTCATAAGGGTATTCCCCAAATAAGGGTTTTGGAATTGCAGTTCAATACATTCCCTTATCTACCATTAACTTCCTTACTTGCACTTTTAATACATATATGTCACATAACTCTATGTTGGATACATTATTCAAGGTTTAGGAAAGATTTTCTTTTTAAAAACATGTTAATTATTTGTATAGATCTCGAAGTCATATTTCTATACATTGGCTTGGATAAGATTAGACAACTGTAAGGAAGTTTATGAAGGAATTCCACCCATCCACCCCATGAAGCCAACTGTTACTGCCTTACTCTCACAAAGCCTCTCAAGAGGTGTGAGGATCTCCCCAACAAGATGGACTGAATAACATTTGACAGTGGAGAGAAGGAAAGATTCTAGACTTCTCTCCACAAACTTCTTTAAGGACCTTATCAAACGCTGGCCACAAAGCGAAAAGTAAGTGAAAAC